TGGCATTTCTTTAAAGTCCATTTTAAACTCCTTATTCAAATCAACCTCAGCTTCTGTTTTACCCAATAGAATATTTTCTTCTTCTATAACCTCTGTTAGATCCAATTTTAAAAATAAGTCCCAAATACATTGTTCTCAAACAGATTTAAATTCTTCTATAGTAAGACAATATTCTTCCATTATGTCAGGATGTATCTTTTCCTTTAATTGGTCTCTGGTTCCCTCTAGTTAACTTTCAAAGGCCAGTCTTATCTTTTGTTTATTTTCAGAGCCAAAACTTTCCCACAATAGGATTTTTTACAATTAAGCCCCAAACCATCTGCTGTATTGTTATAAAAAATTAAAACTAATTAAAAAAACTAATTGAAAATTAAAGTCCATTAAAAAACCCTATTCTTTCAAATCCATCTGGCACCTTAACTGTCCCCAGTCAGCATTCTTAACTCCCTTTTGCTGTTTCCCAAACTTAAGATGTTTCTTTTTAATCTCTAAACTTACTTAAATCTTCTTTCTTCCAGGATAGAAGGAAATACTCCTGGTGTACAGCAACTTGCCTTTCAGAATGTTTTAATGTCCAAGTAAATTGGTAATAAGTAATTTCCGATGGTCATTAAAAGAGGAAGTGAAAGCAAATCTGGTGTCCTTTTGAAGGCTCTGAGCCGCGGCTTGTCCTCAATGTTTCCCACGACTCCAAGAGCGCTCAACCTGCTGGAAATCACTAAAATGCGATCTCTTCACAGGGAGCCTCTGTAAGGAGTACTTGTGGATGATCCAGTGATCTCCTTTGTCTGGAGATACTGTAGTTCCAAAGAACTGGACCTTTCGCCAGCTCCAAATGGAGCTGTCCTCAATCTGCCATTACTTCCCTGGAAGTCACTCTTCTCAGATGTACCTCCACCCCAGCTGGTAACTTGCCCAACCCAACTTGCCCAAGCCTTTTTAGGAAGAGCTTGGCTTTCTGTGTGTAGCAGGATTGCCTGTTGTGTTGGAAGCACGTATGTGGTGTGAAAACATGTAGTGGATCAAATGATTCTTTTAACTGCTGTCCTTGTTTCTTCCACAGTGTGGCACACCGCAAGAAGACGAGCAAAATGGTGGTGAGTTGCATTTCTCTCCTTTCTTTCTGTCATTTGGTTCACCCACTGCCACATGGTTTGCCAAAGATGGCATAAATTAAACAACATGTGCCTCAGCAACCCAATCTGAAGGTTGACCTCAGGTTAAGAGGCTTGAGTACCTTAAACTGTCAACTAAACTCCATGTGATTATTTTATATACTATACAGAACAGTCTAGTGCATGTTTACTCCAACCTAAATCATAATGAGTAAAATTGGATTTTCTCTGTTGGTTTGAAATTTTAATTAACTTCTGACAGTCCTCTCAAACTTTTGAAATTTCTCTAGGCATTGTTATACTTTGGGGTTTCAAGGACAAGAAACTCATATCATTTTAAGACATGATTGCACCTGTTATCAAATCTTGATTAGCATGGTCCAGTTAAGGAAAAATAATGTCATATTTCCAACTTGATTTTTTTTCTTGTTCTATAGGTACTTTTTGTAGCTTTGGATTTTGTGATTCATAGTTCTTCTTGCCCTGTTTGGGAAAAAAGGAGTAAGTGCTCTTCCTGTGCACCTGACTTTTTAATGTGAAAAGAGACAGATGTTTTCAACAGAGAGATTGTTTGTCTGCATGTTTAACATGCTTGGACTTCACCTGCTAAAGCAGGTGCAAATGATTGTCTTGGTTACTGAATCAGCAGTGGAGACATCTAATTCTAATCTTCATGCAGGATTGCTTTTTGTAAGAGAGCTTTACTAAAACCAATTCCTAGGAGTCTCATCTCATTGTGCCTGATGGGAGCTGGCCTAGCCTGGCTTGGCCTGGCCTAGCGGGCAGGATGCAGGTTTAAAATCCTTCTGATTTACTCCATAGGAATAAAGGGGAAACTATGGATAAAGAAATGGCAGGAGCGTATGTGGTGTGGGTCTGGATGAGTTTGCTTTTCAGACTGGGACTTTTCCGCTGCAGCACGTGGCCTCTGCTGAATAGAGGGGCGCTCAGCTGTTTGCCAGAATAAAAGCAGAAGCCAGTTTTGTTTCTGAGGATTTGGAGCCGCACACTGCCATTTCACTTGTCCTGTGACCAGAGGGGATCTACAGACTTGATTAGTTGGTGTGGTCAGCCGGGTGCTCTCTGCTGATGCATCACTTGCAAATTACCGTTAAGCATAGTTTTTTCCTCCCTTCATGTGTTTTTCCTCACCCAAAACGGACCTTGGCAGCAACTAAGGGGAGGTATGGAAAGGGAGGCGCTGGCAGGTCAGGAGGAAGGCCAGTGGGGAAAGGGGAAGAAGTGATTGGGGCCCTGGCCAGTAAGACCCCAAAACACAGAACAGCTGGAATGTTCTCTCTTTGTTTGCTTGTCCACACTACTTGCTAGCTGCCCCAAGCGTATGACTCCAAACAACGGACAACAAAGCAAACCAAAAGGGACAAATCAACAACGAAAACCAGGGCAACATACTTAATAGTAACAACAATACTAATGCAAGCAAATGTGCAGATGGATGCTTCCAACAAACCACATGGAGCTAAGAGGTGGATGGACTAAGAAGCTTCTAATGGTGAGACTCCATCTTTATACGTGATTGCTGTACTTGGAAGCAGATAGGTAGATCTGTACAGGAATTTTTCCATTTTGGATAGGGGATATGGGAATATTGGTCTTGAAGAAGAGCAACAGAGCTGTCAAAGAACCCTCCCAAAATATTCTGGCTGATGGAATATAAGAGTGGTTTGGGGGGGAGTGCCCAAAGGCCCCCCCCCCCCTGCTGTTCTGTTGTCACACATTCTGGAGAGAGGTGAGTGGGTGCCCATCTTGCCCCTTGGTGACGCTGGTCGAGATGCCAGGACGACAAAGAATCTACCAATTGCAGCCCTGAAACTGCCCAGCAGGAACATGGCAAGGGCAGCAACACTGCCGGGCCTTCTTTCTGGGGTGGGGCAAAGCTCAGCTATGGGGGGGGGGGGAGCACCGTTTACGTTGCCGTAGTGGAGGATGGGAAGAAGGCCCATTACAGCGGCTGTGGGATGAGCCCAAAGTAGAATGCCAAAGAGACCAGAATCTGAGCAACGACCTATTTTATCTGCATGCTGTATATATCTGGAAGTAAGACATGCTGAGCTCTGTAAGACGGACTCCCATATGAGAAAGGGTACACGGAATTGCAGCCTTATGTGGCTTCCAAGCCTATAGGACTGGGAGTAAGCCCCATGGAATACAGTGGGACTTGCTTCAAAATAAGCCTAGCCAGAATTAGTGTCATAAGGCTGTAAGGTGGAAAAAACAGGAAAGAGATTGTCAGCCAGGTGGACCAGATGAACGCCTATTTGCTTTTACTTTACTAAATCAATAAATAAATAGACCATCTTATATTTTCAACTCTTACGGGTCACCTTTCCCACCCACTCTTCCCCAGCCTGTGCCCCTTGCAGATGTGTGGACTTCAGTTCCCAGCATTCTCAGCAACGGCCCTGCCAGTTAGGGATTTGGGGAAGTCCACCCATATGAAAAGCACTCAGGCCAAAGGGAGCCGCCCTGGGCATGTTTCCTCCCCCTTTCACAGAAGGCCCTTCCCTGCCTTGCCCCTCAGTAATGGGCTGTGCTCTCTTCGGGCTCCCAACCCCTGTTCCTGGGAAAAAAAAGTCTTCCTCTTCAACGAGCACCTGCAGAAAGCAGGAGATCATTTATTCATTAAATGTCTATGCCGTCAGACTCCCAGCGACTCTGGGTGGTTTGTACCTGTTTTTGGCAGGATATAAATTAACACCAATGAAGCACAGGCAGTAGGGTTTGGGATCTTCATCAGATGCCTTCAAGACCCACCGATTCTGCGGGTACCTGAGTGGACAGTCACCTGAGTATATTTTGCAGCGCAGGTTCCTTAAGCCAGAAGATCTGTCTGTCCGTGGCAGGCCAGGGAGGCTGTACTTGCAAGCCCATCCTTCTCTGAATTAATCCAACTGCCCAGATTATGAACCCCAAGCTAATCAGGCTGGTCAGATAGCAGTTGCTTCGTCACATTGGCTGCGTTGAGTTGGTTTTGTGTTGCTACCCAGGCTAGGCGGTGAGCTGCTGGTTCAGCGCAGGGGGGCGATCAAGGATGGTCAGCCCCCTCAAAGTGGCTGGGCCAAACGCAGCACCCAAGCTACCCCCGGACGGCAGTGGTCCTCCGCCAGCCTCGCCGGGCAGCTTCTCAGGGGCAGGGGTGTCTCGTTCAGCCCACCCAGGAAGGTTTGGGCACTGCCAGAAGGCCTGCTGTGTCGGGTGGCAGCAGCAGCAGCAGCAGCAGCAACAGGGCACGTCCGGCATTCTCTGGATCTCTGCAGCAGGAAAGGCTGGGGAAAGGATCCATTCCCCAGTGCTGCCTTGAGTTTTCGTTTTTGAGAAAAGAGGTTTCCTGCAACTTGAAGACAGCATGGCAAGGAGGGAAGTTGTAACTCAGCTCTTTGTCTCCTGGCTTTCTAACAGCAAGGAAGTCTGTTTGTTTAAACTTGATAAGCAACCTTTTAAGGTCACGGCTCCCCCCCCCCCCCCCCGCCACCAAGATTTAAGTAGTAATAAAAATAATCAAGGAGCCTTTGTACATGTGGGAATTGCTCCATACTGCAGTGGGAGAAAAGACCTCAGGCTGGGCTACTTCCTCATTGCTGTGTCATTTTGTGGCAAATTTGCAAAACAGACTTGTGGGTATGAACTCAGCCATTTCAATGTGATGGCATTAAATGAAACCTCCACAGTTTTCTAACGCCTGCATTTGAAAGATGAAGCCAACTGCAGCTTCATGCAGGTTAGTGCAAAAACATCACACCTTTGAACAGTTCCTGTTATTAAACTTTTGGTGGCTGCTTCATAATTTATACTTGAAAATGACATCTGGGTGGCTTGCAAAAGTTCATAAATAGATGAGGCTAATGCATTGTTCAATCAATCAATCAATCAATCAATCAATCAATCAATCAATCAATCTTATTTCAGTCATAGACCAGCATACAACCAATGACATAGCTCTTACGCTACAGTAAGTATAAAAACAAAAATCATGTTAGTAGCATAAAATAGAATGTGAATAGAATTATTGGGGTAAAATTGCAGTGTGGAGATATTATAAACAAAAAAATCCTTTGTAA